AACAAGCCTGCATGCATTTCTGTGTGGGCAAATCTGTTTTTTTTAGTATGTATGTATGCACACGAGGCCAGTGTGTTGGCTGTGCCCCTGATGTCGGGGGCTGTCTGGTCCCAGTAAGAATAGGAGCTGATATAAACAGGCTTGGTCGTTCCCACGTCTCTGTTTACACTGGAAGACCCCAGAGCAGCACTACCCGAGCACTGGATTCCCTCCACACGGCCAACTAACACACTATCTATCTCTGTCTCCTACAGAACACTCACTCGTACATACACACATGTAGTACGTAGGCAGGCAGATATGTGCAGAAATGCAGCCATTCATATATAAGGTGGGTAGTCGCTGTCTTATCTTTTTAAACTTACTTTTGTTGTCCTAGGGCATTTCCCTCATGCCTTTAATTTGTCCCAAGATGCCCATTTCATTTTCCATTTTCCACTACCTTTTAAAAACCTGTCTGATGGAAAACAGACTGGTAAATATTAAGCAGTGTGACACAGAGTTCCCACAAAGCCATCAAACTAGTACTGAACTCAGTTTTACAACTCGACCGCATAGACTCTCAAAAGCTTTGAATTAGCTCTCCAAGCCCTTTTGAGACGGGCCTGTGATGTGCGCGCAACATAAACAGAACACCGGGGTCTTGACAAACACGCCCAGTTTACCGGCAACAGTGAGGTCACCCCTGAAGAACATCTTTGCAAAGACGCATCTGCCTGCATGTTTTGCGCGTGTCTTTAAAAACAAATAGCATTTCGTGTTTTTCGTAAGTTGTAGACGCATAATGACTTTGTTTTTAGTATATTTCTAAAGGTTCCCCTTTTTCTTTTAGTTTGCTTGGATACAAATTGCATGACCTTTTCAGCTTTTTGTCATAAGAATTCCAAACTGTGCAGATCATCCATACGCTCGGAAGGAAACACTCCTCTTGGGACCTGGGGATGTATGGATATGGTTGATAATATTGTTTCACCCAAAAGCAAACATTTTACACAACATTTATTATTTTTGTGTCATGTTTGACTACTATAAATGTAGGGGGTGAACACTTTGAAGTAAGCAAATGGCTGATGAAGAATTGATACACACACATATACTGTAGGCACACAATTAAAATATATTCCCTAGAAGTATAACAATGTTATTTATCTCACACACACACACACACACACACACACACACACACACACACACACACACACACACACACACACACACACACGCACGCACACACACACACACGCACACACACACACACACACACACACACACACACACACACACACACACACACACACACACACACACACACACACACACACACACATGCACACACACAAAAACAAATTGACACATTTCCCGCTCTTATGTGCCCTCCCCCCACATGGATCACACCTGGCACACCAATACATGTTCAGTGTCTGTTCTTTGTATATTTACTGCAGTGTTTCATGTATACCAGTAGTCTGATACAATATGTACAGTTTGAAAGGGTGTTAAATTAAATTTGGTGATAATTCATGGTTTTTGTGTTTATGTAATAGCAGTTAAAACAGGACCGGTCAAATTTGACCGCGAACGTCAGGGCGGGAAAACACAACAGGAGTACGATTGAAACATTTCAGGTTGTTCTTTGGTGCATCAAAGTTGGAAAATCTGCGTTGTAGTAACTGTTCTTGGAGTTTATTTTTCACTTAAACTAATCTAATCCCACCCTCCTCAGACTTCATTAAGTCTAGTCTATCAAGGCTATTCCAGTTCACTGCAGTCCAGTCTGTTAAAAGGAGAGTGGATGATCCATCCCTCTCGTTTAGCTGTTGATTACTTCTGTATTTGTTATCATTGATTTCTACCCGAAAAATACCCAGATTTATTTTAAAAAGCAGTTCATTTTCACCTGGATATTATATACCTACATGTGGTATTACTGGTGGTTAAGCGGGTGTTAGTGTCGTCTGTGCCAAACGTTATCCACTAATCCCGTATATTTTGCATTTACAGACGCATTTCAAAGAGATTCCTAAAAAACCTACATGAGAGAGAGAGAGAGTAGCTGTATTACACTCCAAACAACTGAACCAAAACAATATGAAAACTACAGAAACACATCTTATTTAACTCTGACATGGTTTACGGATACAGTCATGTACCAAGGCTGTGTCCATGTGTAAAGTGGGTGTAATAACACTGTGTCACATGGGTGCAATGTGGGTCAAATAACAGTGTAATATAGGGATGGGGCGGGTGATTGTGTAACCACAGTGTAATTAAAGTGTAATAACAGTGTGATATTGGTTGTTACACGGGTGTGGGTCTAACATGGCTGTATTAATAGTGCTACATGGGTCAATAGTGTTTTACTTTCCTACATGCCTAACCGAGTTTCTAATATAAAAAAATTAGTGTTTTCACTTTTTCATAATGCTTATTAGTATCAGAGAGGTCAGTGATGGGGTCAGGAGAGAAGGTGCGAGGGCAATCGTTTACTTTGCTTCTTATGTTTTGGTAATACATTCATTCCCTGACGTCTCTGCTCCCTGTGGGGAAGATGCTCAGCTCGTCAGGCGAACACGCAGCACATTCACATGGCTTGCTGACCCTATTATACATAATGGCCCTCTCATGAATTGAACACGAGATGCTATGATTCAGCGAGCCGCTGCACTGCAGCACTCAGGCTTCGTATGGAGACTTAAAGCTCCAATGTTTTCCTCACTTGTTTTTTTGACACTGTTTGAAATCGGTCAACCACAAACACCGTCAACATGCAGCCAGCGCCACATATTGGCAAACACATTATCGTCATGTCGGAAGGTCGGGTCAACGCCGCCTTTCAACAAATACACACACATGGCAAAGCAGAACATTTCTGAGTGTCGGGGGGTTAGGACAGGAAAAGACGAGTCACCACAGATGCATTTTGAACTACCGTAATTTTGGGACTATAAGGCGCACCTGAATATAAGCCGCAGCAGCTAAATTGAATGATGTGTACATATATAAGCCGCACTGGACTATAAGCCGCAGGTGTTTTAATGTTTAATTACCATATGTAAGGGTTCGTGCACAGAGGGGATTGTCGGGAAAGAGATGGCTGTTTGAGGAAGCTCCCATTTATTAACATTTCAACAAACAAGTTGCATATTTGCATAACGTATTCAAGTGTTAGCATTTAGTGCAATAGTAGCTACAGAACATGTGCTGTGTAAACTGTACTGTATCACATAGCGTTTCAGACACGGTTACCTTTGTAGAAGATATGCATTAAAAGCCTGATATTCGCCGGAAAAAAAGTAAAAACTGGGACGCCGAATATATTCCACGCCGATTAGATACCCTAAACCATGTCGATTGCGGTGATCCCTGATTAGATACCCAAAATGCTCGATTGCCGGTGATCAGCCTGATTTAGATACCTAAACATGTCAATTGCGGTGATCCCCTCGGCGGATTTAGATACCTGAAAATGGCCATTCGTCAGGGTGGGTGGAATTGAGATACCCGACGAGTACCGGCCAGCGCGTGGAAGGTCGTCCTTTTCGAAACCTCCGGCCTTTTCTTTACTCGTCCATCGCGCGGTTTCATTTTTCACCTTGGCTCTCACCATGCTCTCTGTCTTGCTCTCGTTCGTCTGTCTGTAATGCTCTCGCTCTGGTCAAACAGGCATGTGACCAACTTTTGGTTGACGACATCTAGTCGACGCCATGCACGCCGACCCTCGCCGTGGCAAATTCAAACTTTCAACT